CGCCGCCGGGGTTGGTTGGACGGGACTGCATTTCCCAGCAGCCTCCGGGCAGGGTGGCCGGCGGAAAGGGACCCTGGGAGTTGTGGTGCCGAGCCATAGGGAAGGCCACAGAGCCCCCCCCCCGGCACAGATGTGGGCCGGCTGGGGAAGAAGCCAGCCCGTCAGTGAAGGACGTAAGTAAGAGTTGGTGCGAGAAGGTGGGCTTGGGATCGAGGTCTACAGTTCTCTTCAATCCCACCTAATACAGAGAATTGAAAGGGTTTATGGGAAGGTTCTCCAACCCCACTTCGTAATGGATGCTCACTTTGAAGAGGAATGAAACCTTAAAGGATGGGGAGGTAGTTTTGTTTTTTTTAAACTTTACCTCAGTGTCATGGAGTGTGAGAGATTTCCCAGGCACCAGCTAAAGATTTAGAGAACACGGAAGGAGCCTCCCCCCCCCAAAAAAATATGGATGCAGAACTTTCAGAAAACACGTGAACACCGGTGGAGGCTGTCGGGGGATCCTTCCACTCTAGAAGCAGCCATTGCATTGCTTCTGTTCTGCACAAAGAAGTTAAATTCTCTGGTGGTGGTTATGCTTTTTTGGAACTTCAGGAGAGGAGACAAGAAGTCCCTGGTCCAGTGGAGGTGGGTTTGGGGGTTTGTGCATCTTGATACCCTGAGCAACCCACCTGCACATTTCCAGCTGGCACCAGAGTCTCTGACTCAGGCCGAAGGTGATTCTGTGTGTGTTGCACTTGTGCCACTTTTGGTACATTAAAAAGAGCCAAAATCAAGCATGCCATTTGAAGGCAGGGTTTAAGTAATAAATAAGGAGAGGCAGTAAGCAAGGCAGAGTGTGAAGCACCAGCATCTTGACTCATGAGTCTTGTTACAATTTCACTGGCAGCAGTAGGAGAAAAGGTCTCTGTGGGCTGCTGGTAAGCGGTTGACAAGCCCCAGAGTCTTCAGAAAGGCCTTTTTGCTCATGGCTCCTTATTCTTTGGAGTCACAGAGTGTTGGGTGTTGGTTGTGTTCCTTGCAGGACTGACTAGTTGTCTGAATTTTCTCTTTTGGTGGTGGTGGTGTTTCTTGGTTCTGAGGCAAACAAATCAGAATGAAAAAATGCTTCTTGAAGTTGGGAAGGCTGAAAGTCCTGGACCAAAACCTCCAGCATAATATAAATTGAAGTGTTTGTTTTGCAACATAACACTTTAATGCCATTTGTTTGTTTGTTTATAATACACCTTTTCGTTAACATATAGTACCCAAGGCAGCTTACAAAGTTTTAAAGGAGATAAAGAGATATTTAACTAATACCTTAATAAAAACCATATAAACCTGCCCTATCAAATAAACTATACAAATCAAGCGAAGTGCATTAAAAACCATTCAAGTTACAAATTCAGATTAAAAACAGCAGAGCAGGGCAAATTAAACATCAAACACTGGCGTAAAAAGATGTGTTTTTACTGTGTTTTTAAACTCAACTCAGAAAGGAGTGCAAATCCATACCCAGGGATCCACACAAGACTAGGGCTTCTCCCAGATGCTTGTTAAGAAGGTTTCTTGGGTTTTCCTTCTAGAAACCAACATGCAATATGGCAGCAGCGATGGAGACTGAACAGCCAGGCTTTGAAATCTTTGAAACAGCAGAAAACAAGGAGAATGTGGCACCGGAAGAGAAGGCAAAACTGGAACCATATTACGTGGAACGGTACTCCTGGAGCCATCTGAAGAAATTGCTGATGGACACAAGGAAATACCATGGTTGCCTGATGGCTAAAGCTCCCCATGACTTCACCTTCGTGAAGAAAAATGATCCTGAAGGACCCCACTCAGATCGGGTCTATTACCTCGGTAAGTAGGCTGGCGAGGACTGTCTTATTGCCAAGAAGATCCGCGTTGAAGGGGGTTTAAGAGCCAGAGTCGCTGTAACTCCCACCTCTACCATGACCAGCGACATAGAATTTTTTTCAGCTCCAGTTGCCAGAGTGGGAAACTCTGCAAGTTTGTTGTGGAGAGATGAGAAAAAAGTTTAAAGACCTCCATGTTGTAGTAAATGTTGATTACTAAGGATGTACATAGCAAAAAAAAAAAAAAAAAAAAAAAAAAATTTCTCTCATTTTGGGTTCTTTCATTTCTTTTTTTTTTTAAATGTTCCAGTCATTTTGTTTTACATGAAAGAGAAAGGTTGTTTGCAGTTTTCTCCTTGTGTTTCCCCATCTCTCTTACGACCATTCCAAAAGGCCTAAAGAGCCAGTAAAATTACATTTAAAAAGAGCAGAGCTTCAATCTATTCTAAAAGTAGAGAACTATAGCCACTACACTCTTTGGCTTCTCCTTTCTTCTGCATTGGAATTTATATTGATTGCTTCCAGTCTGTGGGCAATTGTTTTGTTTTCCATATTGGTTGGTATATTCTTGTCGGGATTTTCTTAGATTTGGCTTTTGTAGCTAGGAATTGCTTTATTGTTGTCTTGTCTGCTCCTGGTGATATAATTTTTTCCCAGTGCTCTGAGAAAACTTCAGTTCATTTTTTAGAATTGCTGGTTGTTTATCAGAATATTCTTCTTTAAAGTAATTTGACATTAGTGTAACATTTCTATACTGTTCTTCAGCATTTTATTTGTGTTTTGTCTTTATTTTATCTTGATCAGATTATATATTCCCATATAGATATTTCAGTATCCCTAATCTGGCTTTAAATTTACATTCAATTTCTTGGATAGTATGGAAGACTTGTTTTTCCTTTTCCACTGCTTTCTTCTGTTTATTTGCAACTGTTGTAGTTTCCTCTGTGTTGTTGTTGTTTAGTCGTTAACTCGTGTTCAATTCTGTTGCCCTACATGCAATTGTTTAGTCGTTAACTCGTGTCCAATTCTGTTGCCCTACTATGAAAAGATTCTGACCCCATTTCAGTCAGCTTTTATTTTTGTCGTGAGCATAGATTTGAACGGTGGTTATGAAATAGGCTTTCCAAGAAGTCTGGTTGAAACTTTTCATTTACACTTTGCATTATAGTCCTTAACTACTTGTGTTGCATCTTTCCTCATTAGTGCCGCATCTCTCCTCACTGTTAGAGCTGCACAATTCCTTCTTGAGTTGTTGCTTCCACAATACAAATGCTTTTTTAAATTATCTGGCTGAAAACGTCCTATTCTAGCCCACATTCATTTGCTCTTAACAAGTATTACAATGCTTAAACATTCCATTTCTTGTTTTATAGTTTCAAGATTACCTTGATTCATATGTCTCACAATCCATGTTCCACATATATCCTTTCGTAGCTTTGCTTCTCATTTTGCTTCTATGCACACAAGCAATTAGATGTTCTTTCAACTTTAACCCAACTATTCATATCTGCCTTTTGCTCATCCCCAGCAGCTGGTTAAATGTCTTCTGGCCTGAGTGTCTCATCTTCCAGCACTCTCTCTTACTCTATTTTGAATTGTCTCACTGTAGGGTCTTTGAGGTAAACAATACTTAGAAGTAGTTTACTACTCTGGTGTTGTTGTTGTTGTTTGCACAGTACTAACAGTTAGCTTAATTATCACTGCCATTGTATAGGAGAGATCCTTTGCCAATGTTACCTTCTGCTATTGCTGTTACCCAGCAGCTACCCTTGAGAAATTTCTTGTATCACCGACACCATTGAAGCTAACACTTCTCTTCTGCTAAAAGAACGGAATTGTAAACATTGTAAGAAGATAAATTTCAGTATAATATTAAAAATAAAAACACTTCAAAGTGTTTAATTGGCTCAAAAACAGTAACACTAGTTTGCCTTTAAAAAGACCAGTGCATTGCTTCCATGTGGCAGAATAAAGGAGTCACAACTCAAGCTGCAGAACAGAAGAAAGAAGTTTTTAATTACAGAAAACATCCCCCTGCCGGTGACATCACCATTTCCTAAGTGTAAGTTGCCACCCTGATAATTGGCCATTGGTTCTCCCCCACAAAAAAAAGTTGTTTTGAAAGTTTTAAAGCTTATTTGTTTATTTTAAAGCATATGTCATGAATTAACTTTCGCTAGGATCTTCTGTTGAGTTCTTCTGCATGGCATTCTGCTAACAAGAAAAATCCACATTGTGTATGTTTGTTTGTGTTTTAAGCTATGTCCGGTGAGAACAGGGAGAACACACTTTTCTATTCTGAAATTCCCAAAACCATAAACAAGGCAGCAGTCCTTCTACTGTCATGGAAGCCCCTCTTGGATCTTTTTCAGGTGGGTAACATAGTCACATCTTCCATATTTTGTCCATGTGTTTCCCCAGGATTCTTTCACTGGACCTTTTTTCAGGGTAGCAGATGATCTTGGTTGGCATGAGCTGTACCTGTGAAAGATATGAGACGCTTGACAGAAACTACAGTAGAAGCTCTAACAGCTTCTCTTCTGCCCAGAAGTATCTTGAAGTGATTAAAAATTTAAAACGATTCTACTTTAAGACTTTCAGCCTTAATGCATTTTGTAAAGTGCCCTTTAGTGAGACCAGCTCTTGTGTCCAGTGGAAAGCACTTAATCTTGTCTAGGCTGGTTGCAGTAGTTTTCCAAAACCAAAAAAGGGCACGAGAGCTGTGTGGCCACAAGGCAGCAACTATTAGTTGTTCCACAAGTTCTGTTTTATCTGTGGGACACAGTGGCCCATCTGTGCCAGGTCTATTCACTTTCGAGCTTTACTGTATTCAGCGTGGTTTACTTCTGTCTAAAAGAGCATATGTGGGTTAAACCACAAAGCCTCTGGGCTGCAAGGTTGGAAGACCAGCCATCGTAAGATCGAATCCACACAACAGAGGGAGCTCCCATTACTTGTCCCAACTCCTGCCAACCTAGCTGTTCAAAAGCATATAAAAACGCAAGTAGATAAATAGGTACCACCTCGGTGGGAAGGTCACAGTGTTCCGTGTCTAGTCACACTGTCCATGTGACCACAGAAACTGTCTTCGGACAAACACTGGCTCTATGGCTTGGAAACAAGGATGAGCACCGCGCCCTCGAGTCAGACACAACTGGATTAAATGTCAAGGGGAAGCTTTACCTTTACCTAAAAGAGCATAGTCTTTCAGCCTAGAAATAGTTGTAGCACAGCACCCTTGTCTTCCATTTTGCATGTTTTTAAGTTCAGAAATCAATAAAAGATATCTGAGCTTTTATTGACAGAGGTGTTTGCCTTGTGCTGTGCTGGTTTGTTGCATTGTGTTTTTGTAATATCAGTAGCATTTACTCTTTGGTAAGTGGACCTGGGAATTCCAGCTGTTTAATCTTCTGCTGAGTTTGCTGGGGATTTCACACCTGCAGGTTTACTTTGAATTATGGCTGTTATATTATATTTGAAGTTTTAGTTAACTTTGCGAATAACTGGGACACTAAAAATCTGATATTCATAACAGACAGCTGATAATTCATAGATGATAGTTACTTTCTTCTTGCACTTTTTCGTCTATGCCAGGCCAGCCTAGATTATGGGATGTACTCCCGTGAGGAGGAGCTGTTGCGGGAAAGAAAGCGCATCGGAACAGTCGGGATTGCCTCTTACGATTATCACCAAGAAAGTGGCACGTTTTTGTTCCAAGCAGGCAGTGGGATTTACCACGTGAAAGATGGGGGCCCCCATGGGTTCACGGTGAGTTGAAGCTGGTCAATACAAATACCTGTTGTTTAGCATGATAGGCAGCTGGATTTGGCAATAACTTGAGAACTGTTATTTACTATAACTGCTATTTGGGGTTAGTAGTTGCAGTAAATTACACAGTGCATGTCTGTGTAATAATTAGACTGACTCAAAGATCACAAAAAGCCAGGTGAAGTTTCAAGATCTGCTCATTTTGGTGGATGTTACAAAAATCATCTTAGAGTGGGGCATAGTCTGTGGTGCACATTCTGTTCTGTTTTGTACTGTGTCTTTGTGTGTTAGGTGTGTTTGACTGTAACAAAATAAAATCTGATACAATTCTTTAGAACAGAGTGGGAGAAGGTGGAAGTTGACTTGATTCTGCATGTCTGTAGTGTCTTGAGGTGTCTTTAGATGAAACCTAACCCACTCATTTACCTGCTAGAGCAGTGCTTCCCAATCTTGGGTCCCCAGATGTTATTGGACTACAGCTCCCATAAATCTTGGCCAGCAGAGGTGGTGGTGAAGGCTTCTGGGAGTTTTAGTCCAAGAACATCTGGGGATCTAAAATGGGGAGCCACCATGATAGAGTCTCACAATGGGCAGATGCACAGGAGAACAGCCAAGACTATCTTGTATGGGGGGAATAATCTGAGATGTTTTTATTTGGTAGTTTATTTTCATTTTCTATTTGTATTTGTATTTAATTGAAACCTGATGTAATCTGATTCATGGCTTGTTTCAGAAGAAAGGTGTTAGATTGTTTTCAAAATTGTTTAATTGACCTGTTTCCTCATGTTGTGTGCAGATACCATTCACTTGCCCAGTCTGGCCAGCTTTCATTGCAACGAAACAGGAGGAATCCTCTGAGCCTTAAGGGAGCAACTAACATGTTCCAATTAACCCTTTTTAAAATTTTCTTTGCCTTCTCATTCATTTCTGCAGAAACAGCCTCTGAGGCCCAGTTTGGTGGAGACAAGTTGTCCGAACATACGGATGGATCCCAAGCTGTGCCCTGCCGATCCAGATTGGATTGCTTTCATCCATAGCAATGACATTTGGATATCCAATCTAATAACCAAAGAAGAAAGGAGGTTGACTTTTGTACATAAAGGTGACATTGCCTTTAGGTGTCAGCGTAATGCTTAATGAGATCCGGTCAGCAACAAAACATGTTTTCAGCCTTTGGATGGTCCTGTGTTTATTTATCTGTCAACCAGGGTTCAGTTTGCCAAGTAAACCTCTGTCTCTGGGAAGACTTCAGCAAGAGCTGGTTGGGAAGTCTTCTGAACATCAGTTGCTCATTGTGAACATGATTTTCAGCCCTTGTTGATGCACACCATGTTTTGTTAGCCAAGCTATAGTTCCACATTCTGATTTGTGGCCAGTTCTTAGCTACAGTTCAGATGTTCAGACAATTAGGCTTCAGTGATTGTGGTTAAGGAAAACAAACCATGGTAAAAGTGTCTAGAGTAACAGGGATGTTGGCAAGTCTTTGGCTCTGAGTCCCAAGTCTTGAGTCTTTGGTACCAGTTCCAGAGTCCTTATTAAAAACAAGCTTTTCCCCCCAGAAAAAGGGAAGGATGTGTCGGTTCCAAGGTGCAAGTCAAGTCCAAGTCATTGAAAAAGACACTCAAGTTGAGTCACCCATGTGAAAGGTGGAGGGGAAAAGTAGGGATCAAAGCGCTTTGAACCCTCCCCCCTTACTTCCGAATATAAAATGACCATCAATTTTTCCTTTAATTATTTTAGGAAAAAGTGTCATTTTATACACGGAAAAATATGGCATGTTATTTGCATATTTATGATTTTATATGTTTTAATCAGAATTTCCTCTTACAAACCTCCTTGAGAGTTGTTTTAAGAAAAGTGGTGGCTAATACTGAGCTTATACAGTTTTTTATATCTAGCTCAGGGTGTTCCTGGATGCAGAGTCAGGGGCTAGAGTTTGAATCCTCACTGTGGTCCCTGGGGGAGGGACCATTCAAGATCGCTCAGAGCATGCACGGCTGATAAAAGAGTTGCGTGCCCTGCCACCTGTGTGGCCTCAGGCAAGCTTTACGGTTCTAGAGCACCACCATAAAGAGGGGCTGGGGAAGTACGTCTGAGTGCTTTATAGCTAGGTAACCATAGAAAAGTCATTGTAACCTTATATTTAAATAAAAACTCTGTAACTAGTGATCCTCTTCATCATCTTGCAGCATTATGTGCAACAGATAATTTGGGGCTTTCCCCCCTAGTCCTGACAAAGGTGTTCTCCAGCAAACAGCCTGATATTACAGAAAACGGATTAGTGTATGCCAGAGACATTAAAAAAGGAGAAGCTGAGCACATGGCCCTTGGATTACTTTACTATAGAAGTGCTGGCAGTCCTGGTTTGAGAAGTTTACACAAATCTTAGTTGGTTTGGATGGGACGCCAAACACTCTTTTCTACAGGGAAGTGAGTTGCTGAAGTGGAATGTGTGAGAGGAAGAAGCACACATGGGTTTGCATTGTGAGCCAGGAACACACTGAGCTGGACAAAATCCAGTGAACATCAGAGATACCAGGGCAGAGTAGATCTCCGTACACCTTGTCTTGTTCTCTGCAGAGAGTCGACAAAGATGCATTTGCAATTCTGAACAAAATAATGAGCACTTGACAAATTGCAATCTATATTGCAAACCTCTTCTGTGTGCTTTCCTTCCTTAGAATTTGCCAATATTGAAGACGATCCAAAATCTGCTGGAGTTGCTACGTTTGTGCTACAAGAGGAGTTTGATAGATACACAGGCTACTGGTGGTGTCCCAGTGCAGAGCCAAGTAAGTGTAAAGGCAACCATGCTCAGGAAACGTCTCATTCTTCTTTAATGTTTGGGGCAGAATGAAGTATCTTTTCATTGCACCCTCTCTGTGATGCTGATGTGATGAGTTACTTTCCATGCACATCGCTGAGCCAGGTCTTTGAACTTGAATGGTATGTTCAGTCATTGCATTGTGCAGTTATTTTTGAAAAGGCTAAAAAATATTCTGAAAAAACAATCGTTTTAATAGTAGTGATAGGTTCGCAGTCTGAAAAATGGCAATTAAAGAGAGACTAAATTTTAGCTAAGAATCTTAAGGGGAGGTTCAAAAGAATGGTAAGGAACTTTTTGAAAAGTTCACAGAGTTAAGTCTTAAAACTTTGTTTTTTCTAAGATGCCACACAACTGTTGTTTTTGCTGAAACAGACTTAACCTGGCTACCCACTTAGAAATGCTTGTGGTAACCCCAGAATTGCTCTATCTCTATGACATTTGAGTTCTTACACCCCTTGAAGGTAACATGGTTAGGCCTATTTAAAGAGATCAATTCTGATTAAAACACTTGGGGAGTTAATTTGGTGTTTTGCTACAGCAAAAACAACAGAAAGTCTTGTAGCACCTTAAAGACTAAAAAATGTTGTCATCCTTTTTGCAAACTGCAGTCCCCTTCATCAGATGCACACTTAAAAACAGTGTGCTGTAAAGCAAAACAAAACAAGCCAAGCTGAGGTGCAGGGAAGAGTAGCTTTATTTGGAACACTTCCTTTGCAAATAGAAAACTGCATGTTCAGTTGGTGATTATTCCTAACTACAGCTAAAAAAGACCTAATTGAGATCCTGGGTAGTTGCTACCAATCAGTGAAGGCAAGATTGAACACAATGGGCCAGGGGTCTGACTGAATAGAGCAGCTTCCTTTGTTTAATTTTAAATGCAATATTAAAATAGTAACGCAAAACCTTTAAAATGAAAAACGTTACAATGTGTAAAGTAATTATTAATAGTTACTTAGGAAACATTTCAGCGTTTCTGCAGTGCAGACAATGTAACGAATTATTAGCTTAGCAATTGCCTCACGCCCTGCATAACTCTTTGTGTGAAAGGCCTTCTTGTGTTCCCTTCCAATCCACGTAGGCTTCCCAGCCACTGACCTTTCAGACAGAAGGCAAAGCCAGGTAGTTGGTGGGTTGCGGTTTTGGATCTCTGAGGAATTAAAATCTGTCCTCCGTTCTTGGCAGCTGCTGGTGGAGGAAAAATTCTTAGAATCCTCTATGAAGAGAATGATGAGTCGGAGGTGGAGATCATCCATGTCACATCCCCCATGCTGGAAACCAGGAGGACGGATTCCTTTCGTTATCCCAAAACAGGTCAGAGGTCATGCCGTGACGTCGGGTCCAAGCTTTGACGATGCAGCTTGATCCTTATTTGATGCTGCTTTCCGTTACTTGATTTTTGTGGGACTCCGCGTCGGAAAGACAAGATAGTAGTAAAACCACACTTTATGTTGTGTAATACTTAGGGATTGTGTTGGTTGTTGTCTTTTGTCACAGGCACTGCAAACCCCAAAATAACCTTCAAGTTGTCTGAAATAACAATCGATGTGGATGGCAAGGTAAAGCTAATGTTCCGCGCTGGTTTTTTGTTGTTGTTTGGTTGGTTTTTGTTTTTAAATCTGTTTAGAATTGTTGACTCTTCTTCTAGTTGGCTGGGACACTGGTAGCCCTGCTGAAATCAGACTGATAAAGAATATAATTACTGAGAATAACTAGTGGGAGGAGCCTTTCAGCCTGGAGAAGGATTTTGTTTGTTCCTCATTTCTAAGTGAACTGGTCTAATTCTCAGTTCTGAAACTGAGCACAAATTTGCACACCTCTAATAGCTGTTTTTTTTGGGGGGGGAATTGTATACTTTTCTGCAGTGTAGTTAGTTTAAAAATTGAGTACAAAACGATGCATATGGGGGAAAACTTAAGGATGGAATAAAAAGCATATGTTAGAAGATTGTGGCTGAATATTTTGATTTTAATGCTTTTTTAAAAAAAAGAGTAATGTGGAGATTCATTAGAACAGACTTATAACTGAATATCTGCATAACTGCCCATCGTAGTATTCCTGAAGGATTTGGTTTTTGTTTTTAAATCTGTTTAGAATTGTTGACTCTTCTTCTAGTTGGCTGGGACACTGGTAGCCCTGCTGAAATCAGACTGATAAAGAATATAATTACTGAGAATAACTAGTGGGAGGAGCCTTTCAGCCTGGAGAAGGATTTTGTTTGTTCCTCATTTCTAAGTGAACTGGTCTAATTCTCAGTTCTGAAACTGAGCACAAATTTGCACACCTCTAATAGTTGTTTTTTTTGGGGAGGGGGAATTCATACTTTTCTGCAGTGTAGTTCTTAGTTTAAAAATTGAGTACAAAACAATGCATATGGGGGAAAACTTAAGGATGGAATAAAAAGCATATGTTAGAAGATTGTGGCTGAATATTTTGATTTTAATGCTTTTTTAAAAAAAAGAGTAATGTGGAGATTCATTAGAACAGACTTATATCTGCATAACTGCCCATCTTAGTATTCCTGAAGGATCTCCAAAGGCAAGGAGATACTGAATGAATCCTTTAATTTCAGGATTTTTTTTTGTCCAAGATGGGATTCTGATTCCAGTCTTAATTAAGGAAATTTAATAATTTCAGATCCTAGCATTTGCCACACTTTTGGAAAGCATCAGTTGCTTTGATAAAGCTTTTCTGATGTAAGCTCTGTTTCCTTCCCCTGGCAGATTACAGATGTTGTCGATAAAGAACTTGTCCAACCCTTTGAAATCCTATTTGATGGTGTGGAGTATATTGCTAGAGCAGGATGGACTCAAGAGGGGAAATAGTACGTATCTAACGTTTGTCCGTTTTTCTCCAGTAGCTCTGGGTTTGACCTAAGCCATGCTAAGCTCATCTCATTCCTTCTTTAGCATCTCAGAGGTAAACTTTTAAGTCAGTTCCTGTATTTCAGTCCTTTTAAAATCTATCAGAGAGTCTTGTCCTAAATCTTGATCACTTTCTTTGCTTCATCACTGGAGGAAGTGATCCGAGATACTGAATGAATTCTTTAATTTCAGGATTTTTTTTGTCCAAGATGGGATTCTGATTCCAGTCTTAATTAAGGAAATTTAATAAGTTCAGATCCTAGCATTTGCCACACTTTTGGAAAGCATCAGTTGCTTTGATAAAGCTTTTCTGATGTAAGCTCTGTTTTCCTCCTCTGGCAGATTACAGATGTTGTCGATAAAGAACTTGTCCAACCCTTTGAAATCCTATTTGATGGTGTGGAGTATATTGCTAGAGCAGGATGGACTCGAGAGGGGAAATAGTACGTATCTAACGTTTGTCCGTTTTTCTCCAGTAGCTCTGGGTTTGACCTAAGCCATGCTGAGCTCACCTCATTCCTTCTTTAGCATCTCAGAGGTAAACTTTTAAAGTCAGTTCCTGTATTTCAGTCCTCTTAAAATCTATCAGAGAGTCTTGTCCTAAATCTTGATCACTGGATTCTTGTTTAATGATTGATTGATTGATTGATTGATTGTGGCTTTGAAGGATAGACCCTGTCATTTCAGTTTCACCCTTCCAATGGACACAGATGTCTCAAGTTCTGATCCTGCCCAATGTAGTGTGGCAACCCCAGGCTTCACATTCTCCCTCTACCCAATCTAATTTGGATGTGTATATATTTTTAATTGCTTCCCTTCCATGCTTAGCTAATTAAGATAGGAATTCCCTTCCTACACACAATAGGGGTTTTAAGATTTTTTTTTCCAAAATAAAGTTGAAGTGGCATCTCTCCATAAGATACTCAAGACACCAAGTTACCTCAGAATGAAAATTAAAAGACAATAACTGAAAGGTTGAATCATTTTTAAAAAAAACTAGGAAGGGAGAGAGAATAGCAGTAAAATTTACTTAAAATCACATTGCAATTGACAGGATGAATTTAAGCTGAGACTCTGGATTCTTGTTTATTGAGCCACATGAAGGATAGTGCTCAGGAGGTGAGACAACTCAGAAGGCTGTGATCTGAGTACCTATGTAACAGGCATCTGGATATTGAAGCACCTGGAACAGAATGCCTTTTGCAGAATGTCAGGGGTTGGGAATTCATGTAGCTTTCTTCTAGAAAGAAATATACACATTTTTGTGAATTAGTACTTTTGCATACAGCTAGTTGTGTTAAATAGCTGGCTTACAGGTTAGAGAGCCCCTAATAAAAATATGATTTGTTCATGACGGGAATTTATTTCTAAGTAAGTGCTCAAATTAGGTGTTCTGGGAAAAACAGAACTATAGAAGATCATTTGATGCAGAGGAAGAAGACCAATTTTATAACATGTAATGTGTGTTGATGCAGAGGAAGAAGACCAATTTTATAATATGTAGTGTGTGTTCCCTGATGTTGGGAAAGTGTGAAGGCAAGAGGAGAAGGGGACGACAGAGGACGAGATGGCTGGACAGGGTCATCGAAGCGACCAACATGAATTTGACCCAACTCCAGGAGGCAGTGGAAGACAGGAGGGCCTGGCATGCTCTGGTCCATGGTCACGAAGAATTGGACACAACTTAATGACTAAACAACAAGTGTGCGTATGTCTGCCTGTGTATCTGTGTGTGCATAACATCCGGGCTCTGGTCCATGGGGTCACGAAGAGTCGAACACAACTTAATGACTAAACAACAAGTTCGTATGTTTGCCTGCCTGCCTCTGTATCTGTGTGTGCATAACATTAGTCTTTTTCATCTGTACCAAATGATCTTGTATAGTTCTATTGTTTCCCTGAGCACCTAATTTTAGCACTTGATTGGAAATAAATCCCTGGGTCATGAACAAATATTGCGAGCACGTCTGCATTTTGATCCCATGGCTTAGTAGTATTTACTGCTGTTTTCTGATTCTCCTCCCCTTTTGTTAGTGCTTGGGCCACCTTGCTTGATCGTTCCCAAACGCACCTTCAGATTGTATTGCTTCCCCCTGCTTTATTTATTCCTGTGGAAGATGATGCCATGGAGAGGCAGAAACTAATTGATGCCGTACCTGACTCTGTTACACCCTTGATTATTTATGAAGAAACAACAGATATCTGGATAAACGTAAGTATTCATCATTAAGAGACTAAGATGTTCTACAGCTTGCTGGCAGCTTCCTTACATTGGAGATCATAGAATATTTTAAAGGTTCTAATTGAATGAAGAGAAAATAAAAAATGTTTTCAGAAAAGAAAATGAGAGCTTCATATTTTTGTAGGAAAAAACTCACACAAGCTATAATGTGAATGTCAAAGCGTGATGTTCCAGATATTGCTGGACTGCTAAGTCCCAAATCCCACACCATTGGCTGTGGTGGTTGCAGCTGATGGAATTGCTCTCTGGCAATAAAGGGAGGTCCACCTTGATGTAGTGATGGGGTGAAGCTGTTTGTGCTGTTCATAGAAAAGGATGATACAAGTAGGTGATTCATGGGGAGTGGGGGTGGAGGAAGCAGGTCAAATGTCTCCTGGAGGAAGCCGGGCTGGATCTTTTGTACTGCTTTAAGAGAAAGAATCTAGTCTCTGATTCCACTCTTGGTCTTCTTTTCTTTCTGCAGATCCACGACATCTTCCACGTTTTCCCCCAAACCTGCGAAGAGGTGATAGAATTTATCTTTGCCTCCGAGTGCAAAACAGGATTTCGGCATCTGTACAGAATCACAGCCGTGTTAAAGGAGAGCAGATACAAGCGGTCGTATGGAGGACTTCCTGCTCCGGGTAATCAGCTTTGGTGATTGCTTTTGCTTCTAAATTGCAGCCCACAAAGGCACTTTTCGTTGCCTCCCCAAGTGTGACTAGGATTCAGTGTTAGGTTTTCTGCTGTCAAGATGAAACAGACTTGTAGCCATTCTAACAGGGCTTTCAGGCTGCCGCCAGTACACACACACGCACGCACGCACACACACACACACACACACACACACACACACACACACACACAAAGTTTTCACGGTCATGCAAAGATTTCAACACCGTATCCTGACTGCTACTCGAGACTCTCTGTCCACTACACTTACACTGGCTGTTACACTGGGAAAGCAATAGAAGGGTCCTAAAACAATCATTTGTGCTTATTTTAGTAGCTTCTTTTACTTAGAATTGAAAATTTGGTAGTGCGGATGGGTTTCCTGGGGGCAAATCTAAGGGGAACAAATAATCCCAGCTGGACTGTCAAAGTTGTCCACTCTTGTTCTAAACTCTTCTGAAAGAAGAGAGTACATCAGGTAGTTACAGGAACCTAGGAAGGTTTTTTTCCTTTTCTTTTTGCAAGCCAGGGCAATATTCTAGGATTCCTGAAACAAAACACTAGAGACCTAGTTTGATATAGCAGAGAGAGAGAGAGAGAGAAAGAGAGAGAGTTGATCTAGGACTGTAGAGACCCGGGTTCAAATTGTGGCTCATCCATGTAACCTCACTGGGGGGCACTGGTAAAATACTTATGGAACATCTCTTAGCTGTAAGTCAGAAGTGATTTGATGGAACATAACAAAAAAGAAACCCAAATGTCGCGCCTTGCGTCAATTGCGCCGACAACGGTGTTGCCCAGGAGTGATGAATAAGCATCCCAGTTGGGCATCCATGACTTTAGTCTTGCTTTTGTAGGTGATTTCCTGTGTCCTATTAAAGAAGAAGTGCCGATTACTAGTGGGGACTGGGAAGTGCTTGGCCGACATGGTTCTAATGTAAGCCTTTTTTTAAAAACGCATTTTCTGTGGCATTTGAATTAATGCTTGATCTTTTTGGGCTTCGGTGTGGGGACCTTTCTGTTGATTGGACAGGCTGAAGCTGTTCGCATAGATGTTCCCCATCTGTTGCCCTCTGACTCTTTGGTACTACAATTCCCATTAGCCTCAGTGTCATCATAAAATAATGGAATTGGAAGGGGGCCTAGAAGGCCATTGAGTCCAAAACCCTTCTCAGTGCAGGAATCCAAATCAAATTATATTTGACAGATGGCTGCCCAATTTTCTCTTGAAAATAGTATGGGATGATGGAAATTACTGTCCAAAACATCTGGAAGGCTCCAGCCCTGGATGGTTGATTTTAAGCAGCTCAGTGCCTTGGAAAAGCAGATCTGTAGAGCTCTTGACACTTAAAGAGGGACAAGGCAGATTAAAGTAAATCCATCCTCTTCTGTGTTCATTTGTCTCATACGTTGTGTTGGCTGGGAGTCAACATTTATCCAGTTGTTAGGCTCAAGGACTGCAGGATGTTGGCAGCCCTAATGTCCTTAAGGAGCACCCGAGGAACACCAGAGCCTCCCCCCCCCATACTCCCGTATTTAGCCTTTGGGTGCAATTAGATGAGCAAATAGCTTCCATTCTGGACTGCTTGTGTCACAGTCTGGTGTGAGCCATGTCTCAACGCTCACATGATGTGCAGAAGATCTTGAATCAGCCCAACCTGATCCATACCCAAGTTGGACTTTTATTTGGTCCAATGGCAAAATTACTCTTTTGGAGAATCACTCCAGGCTGGAGTGATTCTCACACAGATGGAAGGGTCAGTTTAAGGGAGATTGCTCCTAGCAAAACCGCCCTTTCTAGTGCAATCAGATGCAAACCTTTTTCGTCCTCCTCTTGCACCGTGTCTCTATATTTTATTTGTTCTGTCTTATTCTATTACAGACATATGTAGGCCCTCCCATTACATAAACCATGGGTATTTACAATAAATTCAGACCTAGGGCAATAAGTGACAAGCTATGATAGAGCCTTCTTCTTGGTGCTGCTGCTGCTTCTTCTCAATATATATTTCACACCAGAAAACCTTCAAGAGTGATGTGTTTGTTTTTCTGGGGGGGGGATGGATTTTTCTGGATTACAGCTCCCAGATGTACACTGCTAGAGGGGGGAGTCTGGTGTTACAGCCCAAAAACTCCCTACTTGCCCCAACCCCCAGTTCGAACTCTGCAGAAAATAGTATAATCTGTTCTACATGACCTTCTGCTGTGTGGCAGACCCAGGCTCAAGACAAATCAAAGTGGATTTTATCAATCCAAATGTCAGATACCTTTAGGTATTCTTGAGATCCAAACTCGCTTGTCCCTTTGGCAGTTGAAATTAATGCAGAATTAACTTGAACCTGGGCATCCTTAGTGTAATATAATAGGATCATTTCAGTTTTCTTTGTGTGTGTTTTTTTATCAGATCCGGGTAGATGAAGCTAAAAAACTGGTATATTTTGAAGGTACGAAGGATTCTCCCTTGGAACATCACTTGTATGTCGCTAACTATGAGAACCCTGGAGAGGTCAAGCGGCTGACGGAGCGCGGTTTCTCTCACGCCTGTTGTGTTAGTCAGGTACCTTGCTGTACTTCATCCTTGTGTCGTTCTGTGCTGTGTCTCTCAAAACGGGAAGAAGGTGGCAGAAGCTTAGATCTGCTCGTAGTGGTGGGAAATCATCTGCTTCACAGGTCCCTGACCTTGACCCCAAGTGAGTTGGGTACACATGATGGTCAACACACGGGTGGGAATCACACAGCTTTTTTTCCACTGCCACCCATTTATTGGTGACAAAAAAACTACCACTTCTGGAAAGGGAGGCAGTTCGAGATATCCATATTTTTTAGTCTGTAACTAAAATAAGTCTCAACTAGAGTAGGGCCATTTGAATCCATGAATATTTTGGAGGAGTTGACTCAGCCAATCCCTACTGATTCCATGGGCCTACTCTACTGTGGTAAGCAACAGATTTTGGCCAGGGAGGAGAGGACATTTTGGAGATGGCTCGTTCATAGAGTTGCCATTTGTTGAGGAAACGTGACGGCACATAGCAACAACCACAACCATATAGACGTATAGCCTAAGATTACATTTGAGTCTGAGGAATTGGGATTCTAATTGACAGAAACATCAACTGCAACAAATCTGTTAGCTTTGGAGATGCTAGACGACTTTGGGTTGGTTTTTTTTACACATATTAAAACAAAGCAGTAGCGTTCCCTATTTTTGGAAATTTTCATTGTCTCTATCTGATGGCATCAGTTACGCTTCTCTTTTTCCTGTGCATTTCTATAATGACATTTCTATAATCAACTTCAAGGGCCCCCCCAGTCAAGGTTCACACTAAGATGCGCGGTGACATGAGTGAGCATGATTCTGCCCCCCTTTTGCACAGGGCTCCGCCTCTGCGCATTCACAGTGATCATGTCAAAGCCCCTTTGGTGCCAGTTGTGACCGAACTCCTTGGAGAGGGCACAGTCGTATGTGCAAGGGGCAGAGCTCTGCTCAAGGGGGGCTGAAGATTCGAGGAAATGGTGCCTCCAGTAGAAGTCATAAACTATCCAAGTGACAGATAATCTCGCCTCCTTATCACAACAATACACCCACAACAAGACACACTAATCACCCATTTGCAGAAAAAGACAAAAGCCTATCTCACAGCCATAAATACTCCACTCCCAAGCCAACTACACCAGAGCACAGAGTGCTGTCCTCTGAAGATGCCAACCACAGAGACTGGCGAAACGTTAGGAAGAACAACCTTGAGAATACGGCCAAAGAGCCCGAAAAACCCAGAACAACCATTAGATCCCGGCTGTGAAAGCCTTCGCGAATATATACCCAAGTTTCCTCCCTTTCTAGAGGAGAATTTTCATTTGTCTAGGAATTCACAAGAACCGTCCTCTTTTGCATTGGCAGAACTCCTTGGATGTTGTAGAACAGGCTTGTCCAACCTGCGGCCCAAGGGCCACATGCGGCCCAGGTCGGCTCATAATGCGGCCCAGTGCATTTTTTATTTTTAAAGAAATTCCATAGTTTCAAGTTACACTGCCGGCGCTTGTGGCCGGAATGCAGCTGGGGCACGTCACAACGGTAGAGGGGGAGAGAGGGAAGGAAGGAGCAGGAGGGGAGGGGAGAGGGGGGCTGCGTGACTGCATTGCGCCATCCCCATCAATAGGTGGACCCTCTCCCGGCCCCATAAAGCCGCTGGAGTCGAAGCTGGCAGCCTCTGCGGTCTGAGATTGCAGCTGCCAGTAAGCGCGCTTGGAGCAGGGCTGCGGAGGATGGCTAGGGCTGCACCCCCATGCGGCCCAAACCAAATTTTCATCTTCTAATGTGGCCCAGAGAAGGTGAAAAGTTGGACACCCCTGTTGTAGAACATCCAAGTTATGTTCAAACTCTGCTTCCAAGAGATCCATTTTCTTGTTAGCATTAGAAAACTATCTTTGATGCTGTCCTGGGCTTGCATCCCAAAGAGAAAAGGAGCCCAGGTCTGTTCCCATCCTTTTGGGGCTTGAACTGCAGTTACCTGTTCAACCTGTCTTAGGTACTTAATTTTCCTGTGAGATGACAAGGCAACCAGAAGGCTTCCTCCTGAAGAACCACAGGTCTTTTCTGCGCATCGACTTCATCAGTTATAGCGAGAACTAAAGGACTGTGTAAAAATCCAGCCAGAAACTGAAGGCAAAGTCGCTCTCTGAAATTTGTGCCGATTCTCTGCTTACAGAAACTTGGGCCAGTTCTGCAAGCGGAGAATGGGTACATGTTTCTATATCTATCTTTTCCCATAGGCTGGAGAGCTGCAGGTCATGTAATGATCAACCCTTCTTTTACAGAGGATGTTGGGAGTTGTAGTCCAACATATCTAGAGGCCACCAGGAACCTGCTCTGCAATGTCGGAAGTCTTCTTGGCACCTATTCAGAAATGCCTTTCTTTTATTTTTAAATAAATTCATAGCAGATGATAGTTTTTATCAATGATTGTTTTGTTCTGTTTTGAACGGAGTCACCATGGCCAGTGGCCACCAAGCAGTAATGCAGGGTTATAATTTTTCTTATTGTTTAAATTAATGGCTGGCTTTTTGAAATTGTTGCTGGTTTCCTCTTTCTATTTTATTCTATTCATTTAGAAATTGTTGTTTAATTCCTATTAATTGTTGATTGCGACTTGGGTTTATATGGAATGATAAAATCAGATACAGTATAACTCTTAAAATAAGAAACCCTTCTTGCTTGACATGTGAACCTCTAGAAAGAAACCAGATTGATTTCACTCAGCTCCAACGCTTTTCTCATTATGAGTTTGCATGTTCTGTGCCTTCATCTTAATACTGAAATGGATTCCATGTTGAAAACCCATCAAACCATAAGGCTAACTTAGGTTAGCTTTTTATAGTAATATCTAAAATCCTTTAAGTGTACATAAAGGCTTCTAAATTATTTTATGTTATTTTAAAAAGAGCTTAGAAGTATTTTATCATAGGAACTGCTGGATAGTTCAGTGGTTTAAAGCATCTGGCTGTGGAGCCATTGGTTGGGAGTTCACTGTGCCTCCTTGAAAAGTGCTTGATTCGATGACCCATAGGGTCCCTTCCAGCTTTGCAATTTGAAGGTTGTTAATTTCAAAAAGGAACTCTTATTATTACTAATCATTATTGCTGTCATTAAGGCTATAAGGAGAGAGACGCTAGATCAGACCTATGGTCATTCTAGTCCAACAGGGCCAGGGGGAAGCCCACCTGAGCAGAACGTGGATGCTATAGCCCCTTCCAAGTCAACCGTAGCAGACATACTAACAAGATACTGCTTTTGGTTCTGGGGGCTAGCGTATATGTCCAGTAGCTGCTGATAGCCTTATTCTCCAGCAGTTTGTCCGATCCTCCTTTAAAAAAGAAAGAAAGTAAGTAATAATACAGCATAATACTGAAGGGGGGACCTTCCTGAGTACGCCATCTGCTATATGTCCCTCCTCTTGGGAGCCTGGGACCATTTCTTTTTCCACACCCAAGCAGCACTAATCTACAGTAAATCTTGCAAAATCAATAGGAGAAAAATCTTGGAAGTATATCATTTTTAAAGCCAATTGAAAACCTGGCTGTTTAGGCAAGCCTTTCCTTCAGTTATTATTTGATTTACTTTTTCTTATCTCTTTCCATCTTGAATAATTTGATTACTGATGTCTGTAATGTTGTTATAATTCATTTTGTTTTATTATATATGTTGGAAGCCACCCGGAGTAGTCAATAATAATAATAATAATAATAATAATAATAATTATTATTATTATTATTATTATTATTATTATTATTATTATTATTATTATTATTATTATTATTATTATTATTATTATTATTTCTACAAAGTTAAAGGGAAAAAACAGGGAGGAGGAAAACCAAGGACAAAATAGTGCAGCACCTTAAAGACATATTTGTTGCAATTTGAGTTTTCATAGGTCAACATTCATTCCTTTTGACAATGAATTTTGATCCAGAAAAGCTCACACTGAAACCAAGCTGTTAGTCTTTTAGGGGTCACAATGTTTTGCTCTTCTTTCCCTTCTTCCCCTTGTACCCCCTTTTTGCCCCTCCCTAATTATCTTGGCAGCACCCTGAGACAAACTAGCACAGCATAATACTTGGTAAAATAATGTTGCCTCTTACCTGCAGACTTACCATCTAATGCATGCAATGAAAAAGGTAGTGGACGTAAGATATCTAACAAGTTCCAGTTCTCTTTCTTCAGAAATGGGCATAAATCTTTTGATCTGCTCTTCTGAATAGAAGTAAAAAGGATTCCCCTGTAATAAAATGATGATCTTTTACAGCGGTACCTTGGTTTATGAAAGCCTCGGTTTACGTAATTTTCGGTTTACAAACCGAAATCCATAGAAAATAAAGCCCCATTTTACTTGTTTTTTTCTCTTTTTCCCCCCTGGCTGTACGAAAGGGTTTCCTCAGGACGCATTGCGCCTGGAGGTGTCTAGCGCCGCCCCCATTCCTAGTGTAATCCATGTTTCAGTTTACAAAATTTCCACATGACGTTACGTCCCGGAGCACGTATTAATTTCGTGAACCGAGGTACGCCTGTATTTCTTTTGGAAACGGGAAGGGAAATAAAAGTGTGAATCACACCTGACTCACATGTATTGCACATTACTGTCAGTCCGGCAAGTGGAAGGTAGCTGTAGAGAAGTGGCAGGAACTGGAAGTTCAGATCTTCGCACCTTCATGAGCTCCCTCGGTTTCTTGAGGGAACTACTTGTCAGCCTCAGCTCCTTATCTGCAGAGTGGGGGCAATACTAATCTGCCATGCCCTGTTGCTACCAGAAAAAGACAGAGCAACAAATATTAATAATCAGAGATATACCGATTTGTATGATTAGAGTACCTGCCTGGAGAATTCCAGGAGGTTCTATTCCAGAAATAAATCTGCACATGCCTCTAATGGTGGTGTTTAGTGCTGCTGTGTACACACATTGCATCTGCATTGATACCAGAAAGAAAGCAGGTTCCAGTTTTAATTCCCAATCAGAGTCTTCAGAAGGAAATAGGCCATGTTGGTTCACAGGCTGTCAATATTTCTCTTCGTCCTTTTCCTAGCATTGCGATATGGTCATCTGTAAATTCAGCAGCCAGAAGAGCCCACACCAGGTGTCTCTGTATAAACTGACTGGCCTTGAAGATGACGTCGCCCACAAGTCAAAGGAATTCTGGGCCACCATTTTAGATTCTGCAGGTATGTCCTTTTATATACAGAGCTTTTACAGAGGTCCAAGAACATCTGTCCTTGACATGGGAATTGACTTGACTCCCTCTCTCCTGTGGATTTGTTCCTCGCGAGTGTTATTCACTCAAAAACAGCTGTGTCTGCAGATGGATTGCAGTGTGTGATGGAACCTGGCTTTACACACACAGAGAGAGCGGGAGGTTGTGCATTCTGGGCATGATAAGAGGGCATTGTTGGGGCTGGGATCCTGTGAGTATCCATGACCAGATGCCAGGGTTTGTCTCCATTCTTGCATTCCTTTAAATCTGCAGGGCCTCTCCCAGACTACATTCCCCCAGAGATCTTCTCTTTTGAAAGTTCCTCAGGTTTTGTGCTATATGGGATGATGTATAAACCCCACAATTTCCAACCTGGGAAGAAATACCCAACGGTGCTTTTTATCTACGGAGGACCCCAGGTGAGTGTCTTAACAGAAAGGCCTGCTAATTTTTAACATTGCTTATCAAAATGCAAGGTTTTCCATATGCCATATCTAGAAAGTAAAGCTACCCCTAAAGTTCTGTGCCAAGCCACCCGAAAGTCCACCTGGAGAGCAGTTCTGCAATTAAGCTGTTCCATCCAATGGTATGGATTCACCTTGAGACTAGCACGATTGATCCTCTTTTGACTTATATGTTTTAATTTTTTTAAAGAAAAAACTATATAACTAAAAATTTAGAGATAAAAGTTTTTCCAGTAGCGACATAACTTGCATAACAAGCAATATAACGTAATGTGCCTGCCCCCCGCTGGGGCCATTTTGAGATATAATCTGTTTTCTACCCCAAACAGGTCCCCCTACCCCCTCCAACACTGATTCTCTACATAGAATATAAAAAGTGCACTAGGGATCAGTTTTTAAATTGTGTTTTCTTTTGCACAGGGATGGCTTGCATGCTAAAAATATACACGAAACTCCTCATGCATTCAGTTAGAGCAGTGTTTCCGTACCTGAGGGTCAGGACCCCCAAGGGAGTCAGTCACAAAGTGTTCTCTGGAAAGCCATGGATTGCCTTATATGTGTTGTAGCCCTTGCTAAATAATTTCTTCCTTGGCTTTCAGAGACAGATATTAAGATTAGTGTGTATGTGTAGGTAT